GATTTTAGTATTTATTTGCGATAAAATATGTCTACTTATTGAATTTTTTCTAAAGTCATTGGTACGGTTGTCAATTTATGATTTGAAATAATAAATTATTATTCGAAAGTACGATATTAAAGTTATAAAAATAATATGATACATTTTTCCAGTTTGCTCTATACCTTGATGGGATAGCTATTCTTGAAAATGAGAACATGATTAGAAATAAAGATGTACATTTTGTAACATTTGGAGGACATATTGAATCAAGAAAAAACCAATCTATTAAAGAATTCTTTCGTGGATGCATAAAAGAGGTAAATATATAAATATTGGATTATATATATTAAACATTCTAAGCTATTTTGTATTTATTAGCCTTATTTAAAAAAAGCCTATGTAGAATTGAAGAAATTAAATAAATTTATGATAAGGAAGAATGATCAATTTCTTAAGGATTTTACTCGAAAGATATATAGCAAAAATAAATAAACTTACTGTAGAAAATTTTGCTGGCGTCACTATCATATTGAATATACTTCTTTAAATTTTGCTTCATCAAATTATAAATACTATTTTGACAGTGTTTCATTGAAAAAAATATTTGTGAAATTCAATAAGTCAGTTTATAACTTGAACTTCAGCTTCCTTAGAAGGTTCAACATGTAACAAATATTTGTTATGTCTTATTACAAGTATATCAAACAATTTCTTACTTCACCATTCGCAGACGAGATTAAGTTCCTAGGATTTTTCTAAGTGTAGAAATTTATGAGAACTAGGTTAGTGGAATTATTAATTAGCTGGAACATCTTATCTTTACAGAAATACAATAAAAACGTTCAGATTTAACGGATTTCACTTTCTTTATAAATCATAGTTATTCGTTTAAACCTGATAACTATTGAGTATAAAGGGTTAGGCAGGGAGTATTAATAGCAGCTATGAAGATACTTTATATTTGTTGCTTTTTCAAGTAACAATTCTAGAAATATAATAAGTATGAGTTGACCGCATATTTAAAATGTAAATAATGTCATTCAGCAAATTCTGAGGAAAGAGTAAGAAGCAAAAAAGGGTGTTTAATTTAACTATTTAATTGCTTCATTGCATAAGAACTATTAATAAGAGGTTATTTCAATCAAGGATGTCATAATAATTTTGAGAATTTTGTCTGATTATGAGCAAGTTAGTTGTAAGAAAATATGAAAAATTTCAAATTAATAAAATAGCATTGTATGAAGAACTTTGAAGATGAAGTGTATACGAAATTATGGAATGAAATAAAATATGTAATAATTCTACACAATAAAGGTTAAGAGTTAAAGCGCAAAGTAAGTAAATATATTCACGAGGGGAATAATAAACGGATTTAACATTACACGTGAAATGGAATCAATCTAAAAAATGATAATAAAAGCCCAAATCAATATATAAATAAAAACATTCTAAATCAACAATAATATATAGCAAATAATGTGTTTAATTATAAACATCCAAATTATTTAATAAATAAGTTTGGGCCCCTCGAAAAATAAATCGTTAGAAAGCAATAAATTTACAAGAAGCTAAAACCAACAGAGACTGAGGACATTTTGGAGTAAAGATTAGCCGATGTTTATGTAACGATATTACTAGGGATTACTAAGGATTCTCATTTGTGAGAAGATATGCTAAAATAATTTTAACTAACTTTCCGGGTACCAAAGTTGGTTGCGCGGTGCAGGCTGTAGTACTGAAAGTACCAGGGTCAAATTTATGAGGAGGATGATGCCATAGCAAGAAACATTTATTTCGATAGATGAAGAAGTACTACTTACGAATAATTGGATATAAAATCAAATATAACAAATGTTGGCTATTATAGAGTTCTAAATGATATAGAAGAATCCATGCATAAGGGATTAAGGTCTGTTTTAAATTTTTAAGAACGAACCAAAAAATATATATTTCTAGACATTAACACAAGTTGTATTTAGGCTAATTTATAAATTGGTAACTAACTTCAGTGAAACTTTTCATGGATAACGCTTTGCGATAAAAATAGAACATATAAAATAAGAAAAATATGTATTTCTTGAATGTTAGTAAAACCATCCAATTTTGCAATTAATTTTTGAGAGTTTTGGAGATTAGCTCTATTTTTCATAGTAAGTATTTAAATAAAATGTAAGCCAAACACAAAAATAAAAATTAATTAGATCAATATTTTTATGAAATAATTCAGTAAAATTGTGTTATTTAAAGATTGATATACTTCTATTTATACATATTTATACAGTTATTCTTTCAAAACCTTTG